CTTTCGCAAACAAATAAAGCAGCTAACTATTTTTTATCTTGGTGCTAGGTCAAGCTGCATTAGATTGTAAAAACGCAGATGTTAAAAAAATGAATTTCAATATATCTTAAGAATTGGCTTTAGAAATTCCATATAAGAGTGACGCTAGTACGAAGGAGCAATTCACCAAGGTAGGCGATTGCATAATTCAAAATACCAAGAAGGCTACGCGATATAATGTTACCAACAGGGCTTATTTTTTGTAAGAATAAATAATCCCATCAAAACAAACTTTTTTTAAACTTGGCACATATAACTTTGCTAGTAGGTGACAGAAGTCTAGGCTCAAACACCGGTGGCGGGTGTCGACAACAGAAAGGTCCCCCAAGTCAGAAGTCAGGTTAGACTGATAAGGCTGGACAATGTTTAGTCTAAAAAAAAGTCTCAACGCAAAACAAAACATTGTTAGTCGCAGTTTATAAAATCCTGCCTTGGCAATCAGCTTACTGTATCCGTAAAGGTGGACTGTGTACGAGCAATAGGTTGGGTAACCAAATCGACCTAAGTGTGATTAAATTCACACCTCCCAGTGAGCCTCGTAGCTAAATGGTAGAGCGTTGGCTGCGCAAAAGCCTTCCCTGCTGTACGGGTTCGACGCCCACCACGGCCACAGATTTTTCAAAATTGGGTCAACTGCATTATTCAAATCTATCCAACCCTCCCACTAAAACAGGTCACATCATTCGCATCCAGCAAAATAATCCTCGTGAGAACAGGTTTATTGCAAAGTGTCCTATTGCCGTAGTGGCTAGCAACTGCGAATACCCATGTGCGATCCAGTAAGTTGATAAGCATCAAATATACCGTATTTATGCTGGTCTATTTTGTCAATACAAGCGAACATGCGAGTCTCAGAAAGCAACTGAGAAGAAGACTCGATCACACTTATTACTAGTGCATTTATTTTGTGAGTGCTGTTAGTTACCTCAATACTTCAATTAATATGTTTGCGACCGCACTTTCTCCTGCTCCCCAACCTCAGCACGGTGTCAGGACAAAGTCCAGAAGACGGAAATGAGGGAAAGCGCAGGCCCGCGCACTCTGGACCCTCAGTTTTCCCGTCAATTTTGACGATGGCAGCCACGTGCTCCAACAGGCCGCTGCAATCGCTGAAGCAAGCCGAGAAAGA